GCGCATTTCGCATTAAAATAAAAAAAAAAAAAGTTTCATGTTCAACGATCGATTTACAGTAAAATGTTACTTGGACGCGTGTATTATACGTATACAATGAAGGTACACAACAAGAAAATAGGAATAACGGTTATGACGTATACACGAGTGACGTACGTCCAAGTGTCGGTCAAAACATCGGTTTTTAAAAGCTGTCAACGCAATAATAATAATACTTATGGAAAAAAAAAAAAGAAAAAAAAAAAAAAACTCGAGCCACAAGCGAAAAACGATGAAGAGGTGTACACAAAAAGAGTAGGGTATGTGCCTCGGTGCGTGCGTGTGTGTATAGGTTATAGTCAGCAGCGAATCATTTAGCTTTCAAAGAGAAGATGAAAAAAAAAACGGAAGACGAAGAGCCCGCGAGACAAACGAGGGAAGACTCTTGACCAAGTGAGTACATAAAGAGAACGAGAGTGAGAGCACATAATATATTATTTCGTCGAGTGGACTCGCGTATGTATACCGTTGCGTCCACACACACACACACATATATATATATATAAGTTTGGTCAACGCGACCATGTTACAATACACATATACATTGCAGTAGGTATAGAGTGCAAGCGTGGGTTTTACCCAGAAATCGTCTTTTCTCCATCGTTGCCGTCGTCCGGCTCCGTTTTCAATATAACACGTGCCAGCCGGCCCGGGCCGGAAATGGCGCAAGTGCCGCTGAATTAACAAGTGGGAATTGGGCAGACAGCACGGCGCGCCTCTCTCGCTCGCGCCTTTTGCGTTATTACACCCAGTTTTTTTTTTTTTTTTTTTTTTCTTCTTCTTTCACGTAATCATTAAAAGCAGTAGTTTTGTAATTTCGCCGTAGACAACCCTTCGATGCGCCCGTAACAAAGAGTCCACTCTTGAGATCGTATAAGGTTTTTTTTTTTTTTTTTCATTTTTTTTTTTTTCCTCTTCATCCTCCTTTCTTTCGCTCGATTCTCGTTGTCGACAACATTGTTGCCGATTTTTATTCTTCGGCCCGTCAAGCGACCTCTGGACTTTCTTCTTATACATGAACGTCTCGAGCTCAATTTCCTCTCTCCTCGGCGACAGCTAAGCGTGCGAAGTCACTTACGCTATACACGTCCAATTACACAGAGACGTCTCTCTCTCTCTCTCTCTCTGACGCGTCTCGCCTTTTCTTCCATGGCAAACCGTCCAGTCGTCGCCTACGTTGGTCACAGCCCATCAAGTTCACGTGGCCATATAACATAATACATGCACAGTATATTACGATCGTGTCCGATGTCTCGGCGCCGAACTGGAAGGATTTACTGTTTATATTCAGCTCCTCTTACCGTATACTAATACCCCGTGCAATTTTATTGTACGAAACTCTCTCTCTCTCTCTCTCTCTCTCTGACGCGTCTAACCCTTTCTTCCTGCATTATGCCGTCGTCGGCCGTATACTTATGCAGTTGGTGAAAGCCAAAAGTTCACGCGGCTGTGACAATGCAAACTCTCGGGTGTATATATAATATTGGCCCCGGCTGGGCGCGATGCGTCTCGGCGCCAGACCTGAAGGATTTATTGTTGATTTCGGCCACGGTCGTATTAACCGGATGATCAACGTGTCTAGTCTATTGTGACCCATTATTCGAAAACCAAGTAGCGCGACCTAATCATTCGGCCCATTGACGCCAAGCGTCCGACATAAACGACACCATAACCCGATCATATTTTGTTTTTTTCCCCGAAAGCAAAGTATACAACCGGTGTGTACTTGCCTGCGTGTGGTTTATGTACATCACGGTTTCCGCATCGTATCGGCAAATGGCCACCTGTAATAACGAGAATCGGAGAAAATTAAATAAGTCACCCTTGAACAATTTGTATAGAAGCATACCGTAACAGCCAGTGTATAGTATATAATATAACGGATGAGTCGACGGCGGTGTGCCATCATGGACTGACGCCCCGAGGCTTCGCCGAATCAATTAGTCGAGAGAGAGAGAGAGAGATGGTGATGCATGTTCATCCCTTGCGTACATTGGGTTTATAGGGGCGGAATTTTTCCAAAGTCCTCGTTAAAAAGGCTTTCTCTGTCGCAGGTGGCCTGCTAATCGGCACGCGCCCGCACACACACACCGCGCCCATCCACATAGTCGTGTGCTCTCGGGCCCTCTAATCTCTCTCTCTCTCTCTGTCATTTTACGTTTCCACCTAAACATCTGTTGCCCCGCTGATGGCGCTCCTCCAACAGGGGCGGGGGGGGGGGCAGCAAAGTGTTCCCCGGGCCTATCTATCTATCGGCTCCTCTCTTTTACCTTTGTTTTTTTCCCGAAAAACTTGACGAGAAACGTCGAATTCCTGCGGCGCCCCTCCACCCTCTCTCTCTCTCTCTTTCCAGCCCACAGCTGTACACAGTCCGGAGCGTAAAAGCGTCCCGAGCTCTCACCTGTTTTTACGCGTCAAGTATTATATATACCTATATGTAGGCGTCATACCTCCGAGGAGATGCGCAACAACTTTGTTTTAGAGCCTTGGCACCTTTTTTTTTTTTTTTTTTTTTTTTTTTTTTTTTGTTGCCCTCCCCACCCAACCACTTCGTGTCCAACCGACATGAGTCTATATATTTACGCGCTTGTTTGCCGAGATACATATTTTCGGCGGCGAATTTTCGTTGCTTCAAGAAATCGGCCGATCATCTCTTTACAAGTGCAGTGCAAATATGTGCACATGTATACTTGCCAAGGAACATTGGTCACGTATACCGATGTAAATGTGATGTATCTTTATCGGTGCTGGCCAAAGAATTTTGGGATAAACATCCTCGTTCCAGGGCTACTCATCGCCACAATCAGAGGTTTGAGTGTATATACGAGGTAGAGGGAGGTGGGGGAGGGGGGACTCATCTCTAAAGGCAGATAGGTCGGGGGAGAGGCTCTGGTGAAAAATCACCGGGAGAGATAAAGGATATACGGCTTGTAGTGGGACTTGACAGCCGAAACAATGAAAAATGAAAATATCCCTTTATGCGGGGAGAACGTCTCCCTTTTTTCTTTCTTCTTCTCTCGTTGGCCCCCACGTTGAAGACCCTCGGAGGGCGCGGCTTTGGCTCAAAGGGACTTGCTGCCGGTCCTACTGCGCGTCGTTGATGCACGCCGCCAGAGGGGGAAAAAAAAAGGTATATATATATAAGAGGGGGAGGACCACTTGGGCGAGCAATTTCCACGCGCGTGACTCATCGCCAGCTCCTCTCGAGTATAACAGGGCTCCCCCACGGAGCTGAGTGCATAAGCGCCACTTTTCTCTCCGCCCGTTTCGGTTTCTCCCCCCATATATTTCCCTTCGGCCGGAATGCAGGCAGTGTATATAGAAAAGGAAAATGGACTTTCGAGTACGCGCGCGCGCGCGCGCTCCCCCATAGGCATCGGCACGAGATAAGCGAGGCGCGCGCGACCAGGTATATATACCTGATGGAGATCCCACGCGGCTCACTTGTCTCGTCGGGCCTCGGGACGGAAGCTTCGGGGAAAAGGAAAGAATACGATATACCGTATACACCCAGTGGTAGGTGGGCTCGAGCCAAAATGCACACACAGAGTCGTCGCGATCGTTTCTCATTCCGTGTCTCTTTCCCGTGGCCCCCCCTGTCCTCGGCATCTCATTCTCTTTTACCCGGCAGTCGCTTGCGTCTATTGGGCGCTCCGCGCGCATAATGGCACCCTCGGTTTCTGCGGACCGATCGCTTACTGCGTCAGCGTGCGGCCGTCCAAATCTCTTTTGACGCTACTTATGCACTATAATGCACTTATTGGGTATACCTACACACATATACCTACGGTTGTTTTGGAAGCACTCGTCTCCCCGCACCGCCCACTTCCTTTTTGCCATTCCACATGGACAAAGTAAAATGGCATTGCTCGTGCACACACATATACCGATACGCTTACGTGTTACTTGTGTGTCGAAGCGTCTCAATTATACCGGGACGAGGACCGGTGTTTACATGCGCTATGTTGATTATCTCGCTGCGTCCCGCTGATAAGCAAGACGGGAACGACCCGATAGATCGGTATCTCGCGGGGAGAGACGACAGAAGCCCTTGGGGTGTATATGTATATGTAACAAGGAGCAGCGGAGGCTCTATGCAAATAACACGCGAGTCGGTTCGGCTTGTCGTATGTACCGATTGAACGAGCCACCCGCGCTCTGGGGGAGGTCGAGGCTGCACACACGCGCGCTTATATGTATACACGAGAGCGCGAAGATCGGTATCTTTTGCTGTTGCTGCTACGATACACGTATATACGACGAGGATGCGCGATGGCTTCGCGGAATCGTGACGAAATTTCTATATCGATTCGTGGGAGTGAGGGAGATGGGGCTACGTGTGTGTGTGTGTGTGTGTGTCGAGGAGCCGATCGGCTCGAGATTTTACTCTGGTATCTCGATTTCGCGGATCCTTTGTTTCGCGAGATATACATATACGTACATGTGCGAGGTGGGTATATATAAGCGTCCGATCGGCCTTTGTTCTTTCTTCCCCCGCCCCCCCCCCCTACTGCCGTACCGATCTCTTCGTTGGCTTGATCAAGAGACGCAGAGACGTATACGCCGACCGTGCGAATTTGCGTTCGTTCGATCCGATGCGTGTCGGGTTACTTTTTTCACTCGTGGCGAGAGTCACCCTTTTTTCGGCATTCAAATTTATTGTTTTCATTCGGGACCCCGGGTATACTTAATTTGTAGCTCTTCGGAACGTCTTCTTCAAGACACGATAGTATACTTACCTACTACATTTTCTCTCGTCAGCAGAGAAAGTGGCGGTGATGCTCTTGTTATTTTTTTTTTATTTTATTTTTTTTTTTTTTTAATAATGGCCCGTGAAAAAATTCGTATCGATTTTCAAAGATCATCTTAATTTTATAAACCATTAAACAAGATAATATCGAAAGTATAGTACAATTAATTGATAATTGCACTAATTTTAACATTACTTTGTCGAGTCTTGCTTACTTCACAACAGTTTTTTGCAGCTCGTCATGTTTGCGCTCAATCGTACTCTTTGCCGTCTCTTTTTGTTTTACGGCGTGATTATCGAGTCCCGCGTTGTGATCACCGGGATCCAGAGCCTTACACCTCAACAGGTGACTGTAAGCTTTACGGAAGGTCAGATTTTTCCAGGCGTACAAAAACGGATTGATGCCGCAGTTGCACATCGCCAGCCAGTCCACCAAAAAATACACGATAAGGCTAGGCTCGTAGCGTAACACTTGCAACAACATGACGGCTATGTAGGGCAACCAGCACAGCGAAAAACAGCCCAGGATCGTCAGCACTGCCTTCAAGTACAAGTACAAAAACGGTGAATAAAAATTTGAGTTGTGAAAATTATGTTATATGGTACATTGGAAAGAAGACAAGCTGGAGTTTTCGTGTGTTTCTCAGTGGTAGCCATTTCGTACTTATTAGGGCATACCTGGTTGCTCTTGCTGTAGCTGGCATTGCTGCTGAGGCCGATCTCTCGCGACCTCGCTTTCGATCTTCGCGTGTACGCCCTCGCTTCCCTCCAAATTATCCCGTGGAGTATCAAAATGCTGAGCCAGACGATCAGGAAATTCGGTATCAAAACCCCTTCTACGTAGTACCTGAAAAATCAAACGCCGGTTAATCGCACACGCCATATACATACCAAAGGAATCGATCATTGTTCCTTCGACATACTGCAGGGATTTGATATACAAGGGCATGCATACTTGGGAATGCTGGTGGTAAAAGTACAGCTGCACCCCGGCTTGAAGGTGTTCCAGTACAGGGGTACTGTGGATACGAGCAGAGCTGCACTCCAATTGATGGTTATTATAAAAAATGTGATTCGCTTTGTCATGTACTTTGGGTAACCGAAAGGATACTTTATCGACACGTAACGATCGACAGCGATTGCCGTGATGTTGTAGAAACTCGCTGTGCAGGCAAAGCACAAAAAGAAGAACCTAGAATTAAGTAAAAGTTGAATTTTTCGTACAACGACAACGGTGGATGTAAAAATACGGAGTGTGAAGGAATTTGCTGATGAAAATATTAGGTTTAAAAGAAAAAAAAATTATTTTCAATACTACTCACTTTAGTAAGCACAAAATTTTGCTATCAAGATCCTTGTTGATGAATAAAATGACATCGTAGGTAATACCAGGAGCCACGAGCAGATCCGAAACGGCAAGACTAAGAATCAGGCGGTTGGAGGTAACGCTAATTAGCTTACGGCTCAGTTTGATAGCCAAGATTGTCATTACATTGCCGAGTATGATTATCAAGAGAAGCACTATGTACACCACCATCCAGTAAAAGTGGTGTCTGGTTGACGAGAAATTACGAATTATTGTAATAACAGTAATAACGATAATCTTGAAATTGACGTGGTGACACACATTTTTTCTCATTAGTGCAAAAAACTAATAACAATCAATATTAAGAGAAAAAGTCCTCGAGCGAGTCAGACGGACTTTGGTAATTGTTTACAAAATTCCATGACTCGTGACAACTTTCTCGCAATATATCCGTTTAGTACTTCATGAAATAACTTTACATTGAATTGTTAGTCAAAAAGTAAACGTTGTTTGAATTATATTCTCGGACTACTTTTATCTTTTACAGCATAAATAAATTATAAATAAATAAGTCGTTTTCAATTTATTTCCAAGAAAGCTCATTGCCGATCTCTACTGTACGCTTTATCATTCAAAAAAAAAAAACAAACATTTTTTATTTATTTTATAACAAAATTTTGTATACGTACTCAATGAAGGAGTAGATCATGGTTTTTGGACAATCCACAAGTTGAGGTGTTGAGTGTGAGTCGCGTAAGATAAGATATTTATATGAAGCAGTTGCCCAAGCAGCACGAACGTGTGTATGCCGTGCCACCAGGGTAATAGGGAACATGTAAAAAAATCCTATGCTAATGGGAGTGAATGAACTGAAGCACACGAATGAGTAACTATTTTAATTTTTCTAATACCTTCTTCAAAAACTGTCTGAGCTGTGTGCATTAGATAAATTTTACTTGTTTAGTCATACGCCACATGATGTTCTAATTAACGCTTTCAGTAAAACTATCATAACTAGTGTGAGATTTTTTATTAAAGTTTTCTATGATTGTACTATACTTGTGTATAAATAATTTGTATAGTTCCTTAATAATAATATTGTTTTTTATTTTTATCTGGGAAGGATAAATGCCTTAAAACTCAACAAACGCTTTTCATTTGCACATAAATTTTATATGCCTACATAAGATTCATTGTTTACCATGTATTTAGAAAAGAAAGTTCATTTTATAACATAAATTCTTAGTTTTATATATGTAAGAGAAAATATTCGATATCGACTTGTAAACCGCACTGGCGAAGCACAAAAGTGAGGTGGAGGGCACAATTGTTGGTATTCGGTAAATGTACAAAATTTCATGTGTTATTGAGCAAACAGACCCAACTTGTAAACATTTTTCGAAAGTGGCAATGATTCACCACTTTTTCGAATCTTGTGAAAAACACGTTAGTGGTATCAGATAGAGAAAGTTACTTTCGTGTTAATTGAATCACACGAAATTCACGAACAACAAGTTATACTCAACGAAAACACCATATTCTTAGAAATTCACCTACTATCCAAGCGTTTTGCCCAGCAAGCACGATTTGAACATTGTCCGGACTAGATATTTTCTCTCGTATGTATCCAGAATGTTTTATCTGTTGACATTTCGTCTTCTTCAAATTTTTCACATATTGTTAACGTTTTAATTCATCATACTTTTTCAAATTTAGAGATAATTATAGAGAACTTTTTTTATTTAATGTTAGGCATCTGTTTGAGGATGTAAAATCATGTTTTCTCGTACATACATTGTGAAGTTTACTTTTGATTAGAATTGAAGAGTCGGATATAATAACGTGATATGAACACGGAGTATTGTCCAGATTTTTCACATGTATAACGTAATTGTCGCTTTCAGTATGAAAATTTTCTACAAATTTTAAGCTTATATACAATACCTTATTCTGTATATATCTTTAATTCTCGTAAAGGATAAAATTTTGTACGAGTACAGAAATTTCACTGTACAGATAATTTTTATTCATTTTATTTAATTAACCAATGCAACTACGTTCAGTAATTTCTTGATATTTTTCAATCATCGTATACATTGTAGTCATTAATTATGAGGTAAATTGTACAAAAAGGAAATCATACGTATGATAAGTAATTAAGTAAAAGCTTAATGTAATTTTTAATTAGTGACTTACTGTATATCGACAGTTTTCTGCATGTCGACTATATCAAAATTCAAATTGGTAGGTATGAAACGTCATCAGCTACCAATAAAGTCACGATTTAAATTATCACCGAGTTAAAAAAAAAAAAACTAATTTAAATTTCATAAAATTTTACGTTTATCATGCACTTGTTAAGTCGCATCTTTTCCAATGGTTTTTTCATCAATACCCGCCGAGATTGTTTCCAGAGCAACAACAGCCTGTAGCTCGTGGTTCTCGTGTTTGGTCGTACTCACTGTTATCACCTTCTGTTTTGAGATTTGATGTCTAAGCCCCGCATAATAATCGTTGTGAGAGCATGACTTTGGCCTTAACAAACGACGGAAGGCATTGCAGAATTTGTCATTATTCCAGGCGTATATCAATGGGTTCATTCCACTGTTGCACATCGCAATCAAAAATATTAAGCGAGTTACTTTAGGACTCAACTTTACGTTAGCTTCTTCTAAAGTTACAAGGATCATAAAGGGTATCCAAGAAAGGGTGAAACAACCTAGTATTTTGAGTACAGTCTAAACGTATAAAAAATAATATTAAAAGTAAAAAAGGAGCATAAATTTATTTTTATCTCTTGGTGTGAATGTACGTACTTACCTTATTAATTCGGCTGTAGTTCGTATTACAGGTCTGACCATTCTCTCTCGATCTCGTTTTAGACCTTTGCTTGTGGGCTCTTGCTTCTTTCCAAATTCGGCAGTAAATTATTAAAACGGTTAGCCAGATGATAAGAAAATTTGGTACGATGATTCCTACTAAGTGGTACCTACACAACATTATCAAATATCATTAGTAGAAAGTTGTAAATTTTTTGACTACAAAAAAAGTTGTTTGGATACCTAGAAAAGACAGAGTATCTTGTACAAGAGCGCGTCTGCTCGTAAGTATTCCAGTAAAGGAGTGCCGTAGATATAAGTAAAGCTGCACTCCAATTGAAAGCTATCATCCAAAATATTACCTTTTTCGTCATGTACTTTAGGTACCCAAGTGGATAAATGATTGATATGTAACGATCAATAGCTATTGCTAAGATGTTGTAGAAACTTGCAAAACAGCCACAACATAGAAAAACGAATCTGTCAAAATAAATAAAATGTTTTATTTTAAGTGTATAAACTTATACTATACGTATACGTAGCATTTTTTGAGAACTTTTGAACTACGTTTTTACAATTATTATTATCGGGTTCTCTCATAAATATTACTATTTAACACTTAAAAAAAAGTATAAGTTGTTTTTTTCATTAAATTAGATTAAGTATATTAATATTTTTCAGAAGTGTAGTTTTTTGTTACTTTTTGAAATACTAATAAATTTTTTACACTTACCTGAGTAGGCATGGGAACTTATTGTAATGGGGAAATCCATGAACAATAATGATATTGTATATTATTGCCAGACCAATGTAAAGGTCTGAAATGGCGAGGCTAAGAATCAAGCGGTTGGAAGTTATACTAAACAGTTTTTGGGTCAACGTCACCACTAAAATTATCGTGATGTTGCCAAATATAACCATCCCTAGCAGTACTATGTCGATTACTATCCACCCCCACATATCGCAGTCACTCTGTAATAAAAAAAAAAAAATAGAATTAAGCATCAAGGTGCTAATTTATTACGATTATTAAACTATGTTAAACTAAGCAAATATTATTGTAATGAGAAATTAAAATTTTTTTCTACTTATTGAAAAATTTCTTTGAAATATTTGTTAAAGAAGTTATAAACAACAAGGATGTACAGGATGTTGGTTTGACCAACAAAATGTGGTAGATAAAATAATAAAGTTGATTCCTTATAAGGCCTATGGTCTAAAACTGTGTACATACGATTAATTTTTTCAATATGACGAATCTATGTATAAAATAAAAAAAACTAATGTAAGTCTAAACATTTTTCACTGTACAAGTGAATTCCACTTATTTTTCAAGTTTGCATTGATGTAACATACCCTTGTAAAATTCAAAGTATCCCTCTACGATGAGCACTTTCTTTCTCACTGAAGTATTTTCTCTTTCAACCTACCTACAGCGCATTTTGAAAGTATAAAAATTCGGATAATCCTCACGAATAATTTCATTACGAATCTACGCACGAAACTATGCACGCCTATGCAATGTGAACGCGGGCGTAAAACTAAAAGTTACTTTTAAACATGAACAACGTGAAAAAAAAGATAAAAAGCTATTAAATGACGATTAGGGTGTTGAGAACATACAACCTTAAGGTAAAGTGATTTTCTTTCCGGATAAATCCGGACAAAACTAAATTGAAGGATTTTATCAGCCCAGAAATAGTTTTAAAATGGGATTTAAAGTTCTTTTATCCATGTTTTTTGGGTAACTGAAATTTGTGAGTGAATTTTTTATTAACACATTTTACCATTTCTTTTTTAAACTCAGACAAATAATATATACGTTTAATTACTGATGGCATATACATTTTGGAGTACCACTACTACTACTACATTATTATTGTTGCTAATATTACTATTACTTTTATTATTCGTATAACGACTGAAACTGAGTATTCCACCAAGTCTACGTAAGGAAAACATTGGGATCTTATTTTCTAAAAGATTCGACGTATCGGAAAAGACACGTTAGGACAAATTAAAATATACACGTAAAATTATTTACATTGTCTATTTAAGTATCCAACGTACTATTACTCAATATCTTTATCACGTGTTAAAAATTAATAAGAATTGCATTTGAAATTATTTTAAAAAAATGAAAATTCACATATTCTCATACTAATACTATAGTATTAACCTTGTTTATCGGGCACAGTACGTAAAAATACTTTTGATGTAGTAAAAAACAGTACTTGAAGGTTTGTAATTTGTATTTGTTTTATTATACAAAAATATGCACAGCCAAACACAGTATGCATTCTATATTATACAGAAAAACATTCTGAGTGAAAAATTCATATAAAACTAGAAAATACTCCAAGGTACGGTCATTTAATCACAGGTACACATTAACGATCAAATTTCAATATCAACGTCGGATGCTATATTTAATATCAAGTTCTTCGCGAAAAGTCGCATGGTGTCAAACGATTCCATTGTTTATCTCGACCGAGATAGTTTTTGGTACTGTATTAGTTTGGAGCTCGCGCCCGTCGGGCAATGCCACCGTCGCCTTATTGGGCAAACCGCTCAGTCTTCCCAAACGATTTGCATTGTGGTTGTTGTGATCCCTCGCTTCGGGCCCTAATAAGCAACAACAAGCGTTGCGGTATAGTGGATTTTTCCAGACGTAGATCAAAGGGTTGAGGCCGCTGTTGCACATTGCTATCCAGTACGCCGCGCAGAATACGCCACGAATAAGGTCGGACTGTAGCGTTACAACTTGCAGGAACAAAACCCCTATCAAAGGGAACCAGCATAATGTAAAACAGCCTAGGATTGTGAGTACAGTCTTGAAAAAAAAAAAAAAAAAAATTAGTAAGTGCCAATGAACAATGTTCAGACCAGA